TATTGGGCCACACCCCTGACAGCACAGCTCATTAGCACATTAGGCTACACCCCCATGTTACCAGAAGTGTGGTCTTCCAGCCACACCCACCTTTTGTTTGTTATTCTGTTTACCTTGTTTGTTGTCAAAACCCAGGGCTTTTTTTGTAGCAGGAACTCCTTTGCATGTTAGGCCACACACCCCTAATGTAGCCAATCCTAATGAGTGTCTGCTGTTGGGTGTGGCCTATTATGGTAATGAGTTCCTGCTGGGTGTGGCCAACTCGGGAGCCAGCCGGAACTCCGTTCCTGTGCGTTCCTGCCCAAAAATAGCCCTGAGCAGCACAGTATGTGTTCCCTCTGCAGCGCCCACACTGTTCCGACTGGAAAGGCCTCAAGTTCACATTAGCTTGCAAGACAGCCTCAGGATTGTTTCCTGAATCCCTGTTATGCCTGCTCAGGCCCACCAGGGGCTGCTGTCACGAGCAACAGCCAACGTAATCTGCAAAACCTTTGCTCTAGCCTCCCTGGAAGAGGGGGAAATCCCTGTTCCTGAAGCAAGGGATTGCTGTGGGGTAGATAACCTCTTTGAACATTGCTGCTGAAATGCCATAGTTGTGACCTGACACACACACACACCCAAATCCCTTCTGAGGGTTTTCTTATTTGCAGAAATAAGCTGTTCTGGAAAGGGGGAACAAAGTTTGCAGGTAAATGTAAGAGATTTTCTGTTTTGTGAATGCACAGTAAGAACCTAAGAAGAACTCTGCTGGATCAGACCAGTGGTTGATTCAGCATGCTGTCTCACATGGCAGCCAGTCAGTTCCTCCGGAGGTCCAGCAACACGACACAGAGGCCGAGACCGTCCCCCGAAGTTGCCTCCTGACACTGATTTTGATTTCAGTTGCTGGTTGGTGACACACACATCCAGAAATATTGGAAACTTTATGCCAGATGTTAAGATCAATGAAGATTTACATGTGAGAGCAGTTACCACGTTAAGAGATCCATGGCCTACTTTATAAACTTTTATCATATCACACAATATATGAGATAACAACACCTGGTCAGGATGTGGGGTTTTTTTAAGTATGCATTGACCACTGAGGGAGGCCCTTGAGGCCGAAACACATATGGTCTTGTGCTGGTCACTTGACACGCTCATCAACTTTGGGAAATCATTACAGCTTATGTAAAGCTTGCCCTGACTCTGAATGCAGCCTGAAATTCAGGCCCTGTGTTTTTAATTTTACTATTGTGAATACCATAGTATATAGGCATAGTTCAAGTAACTCAACGCACACCTGATCTCAGGTAGGATGTGGCATGGAGGAGGCCATTTTCCCTCCAAACAAACCCATCCTTCATAAAAACCTGGACTGTATAAAGGCACTTTTGAGCTTGGAATTCGGGAGCCTTTGAGTAGTCCGCCCGCCCGCCCACTCGCTCGCCCATCCATCCATCCATCCATCCATCCATCCATCCATCCATCCATCTATCTGTCTATCTATCTGTCTGTCTGTCTGTCTGTCTGTCTAGTACTGCTCATACAGCCGTCGCCTTAAGCAGAAAAACTTTGAGTCATCTTCCCCCAGGCTTCTGCGGTCAAGCCTGTGGAATTCCACCCCCCGGCTCCTAATGGTGGGGTGTGTGAAAAGGGGCCCTTCCCAACCTCTGCGATTCCTTCTTTTCGCGACCTGGATTTCTCCTGCCCCACCTCTTCCCTTCTCATGGGAACAGCAAGCCCGGTCTGCCTCAGAAACAAGAATTTCCAGGCCTGCTTTTCCACACGGTGGGTGTGGAGTTTTGCCACTTTATCCTCACAGCAACTCCCAGAGTACGGGGCCGGGTGCAGTTTGGCGCCCCTAAGGGCCAGCCCGCTCTAGGCGATCGCCTAGTTCGCCTAGTGAGTGAGCCGGCCCTGCTCACAGCAGCCCTGTTGGGTGAGGTTAGACAGGGAGACAATGACTATCCTGTGCCCCCCCTCCCCCCCATAAAAGTCATGCCTATCTGGATGACATTTTTAATAAATAGGGTTGTCGGGTCTGAGTTTGGAAACTCCTGGAGATTTGGGGCCTGGGGAGCTCGTAGGGGGGTAATAATGCCACAGAGTCCGCCCTCCAAAGCAGCCATTTTCTCCAGGGGGAACCGGCCACTGTCGCCTGGAGACTAGTTGTAATTCCAGGAGATCTCTGACCACCACTTAGAGACCAGCAACCCTATTCATGAATGTTGCATTTTAATAGAAGCCGCAATTACACATCCACTCAAGGAGTAAATTCAAAACAGATCGTTCATAAGCTTCTAGATGCCCGAACGACATTTCTTTTTGGTTTAAAACATTTCTTTGCCACCTTTCCAGCAATTAACATTGAAATCGATAAAACCACCCAACTACGATATTCGCAGTCATTCCGATATTCAATATATTCCGATATTTAAATATTTGAAAGGCTGCCATTTGGAGGAGGGCAAGGAGCTGTTCCAGTCAGCAGCAGAGGATAGGGCTCGAAGCAACGGGTTTAAATTAAATGCAAGAAAGGTATCGGCTGGATATTAGGAAACACTTTATCATCGGCAGCAGAGGATAGGGCCCGAAGCAATGGGTTTAAATTACATGCAAGAAAGGTATCGGCTGGATATTAGGAAACACTTTATCGTGGTCAGAGTGGTTCAAAGGTGGAATCGGCTGCCTAGGGAGCAATGTTCCCTCTAAGGTGTGGAGTCTTGTGAGCAAAAATTCTACTTTGTGAGCTCCTGGCACTAAAGTTGTGGGTGAGTGATTTGGCTACTACATAAATTAGTTTGCTCTGGAGCCATCCTTCCTGAGCTAAGACAAAAATGTGTGAGCTGGAGGCTAAAAAACTGTGAGCTAGCTCACACTAACTCAGCTTAGAGGGAACACTGCTAGGGAGGTGGTTAGCTCCCCTTCACTGCCAGCTTTTAAGAAGAGGCTGGATGAATATTTGTCAGAGATGCTTTAGGCTGGTCCTGCATTGGGCAGGGGGTTGGACTAGATGGTCCGTATGGCCCCTTCCAACTCTATGATTCTATGAGTCTATAAACGGAAGTAGCAGTGACTCTAAACAAACCACATTTCCCCCCCTCTTTGAACTGAATATCATTAATGAATGCACCGATCAGCCAGGGCGAGAGCCGTGGAGTTTGTTTATTCCTTTACGTTAGTAACCCACTTTTCATGAGTCTAGGGAAGAAAATTCCACCCCCCGCCCCCAAAAGGCACACAAATGAGCACAGGGGGCAATGCGCCACATAGTTTTCCTGGTGCTCCAGCACAGCTTCTGTTCATTTTAATGAGGTTTGCGAAGGAGACCATCTCAATGGACTGCCCCCACGTTATTGAGTGTGCGGAGGGGGGCAGGTAATATTGGAATTATCTGTCCCTGGCCCTGAAATATATCTCTCTGTCCTCCACAACATCACCATCATGATCTAAATGCTACATCTGGAAGAGCTGGGAGCCTCTTTCATACTAAGTTACCCTGCAATCCTGAACAGAGATGCACCCCTCGCAGCCCATGCGCTTCAAGAGATTTAAAAGGGCGCAACTCTGGATAGGAGGGCACTGCCACTGCTAGCATTGGTCAGATGCTTTTTGTGTCCCAGACACTGTCTCCAACATTAGACGGATGCCAAAGCGGTACGCATGAAAGGGTACATAGCGGAGCCTGGCGAATCCCAACCCCTGGTCAGATCTGGCTGTCTCCGCCGCCATTAGAGGCCTCCTGGCCTAATTGAAGCATGACGTCTACAAGGCAGAAAGAGTTACTGGCGAAATGTTGCCCTTGTTCAGTGTCTCAGCTGGGTCATGATCTTTTTTTTTTAAGTACCCGAGGGTACACTTTTATTATTATTTTTCTTTTCCTTATACACTACAAACATACGTACAAACCACACATAACTACCTCCTACAACACATAACATATAGCAAGATACATTTCTCACTCCTGCTTATTAAATTTCTAAATTCATTATCTATTTTACTAAGCTTGTCTTTTCTGCGTTCTCAAATTACTACATTTATCCATTACATTACATTTACATTATACCAATCATAGAATCTCTTCCAAGTTTTTTGAAAAGTCCATTCTGTACCGGCTCTCATCTCAAGTGTCAGTTTGTCATTTTCCGCCGTTTCAAAAAGCTTGTTCACATACTCTTGTTTCGTTGGTATTTCTATTATTTTCCAATATTTGGCATATACTATCCTTGCAGCTGTTGACATATCAACTATCAAATACCTATCTGCTTTATCAAAGTCTTTCGGAAATATATTCAATAACAGTATCTCTGGAGTAAACGGGATATTAGTTCTTATTATTTTTTCCGTTATCCCATGAATCCAGTACCTCTTTGTAACATCACATAACCACCACATGTGATAAAAAGAACCACTCTTATTTTTACATTTCCAACATTTATCGGAGCAATTAACATTTTGTTTAGCTAATCTATCTGGTGTAATATACCATCCAAAAAACATCTTATACATGTTCTCTTTATATGACACAGCATTAGTTAATTTTATATTTTTCCGCCAAGCTGGGCCATTATCCCTGCAAAGCAGCCGCACATGCTTCGATAGCGTGCCAGAGGTCCGTAGCCCAGACAGGGGTTGCACCAGTGTGCTAATGAAGAGTGCATTGCTGCTTCGTGCAGGTAGCAGCCCAGTGTAACGGAGACTCTGTGCAAGCTCAGGATTGCCCCAGTGGGCTTCTTTCGATTTCCCAGCATCATGTTTTTAAATGGGGCTTCAAGGTGGTCACCTCGTCTTGATTCATAGCAGGGGCTTCACCTCTTTGGGACATGGGCTAGAAGGAATCTGACCAAGCCAGCTCCAGGAAAAGCAATGAGATCCCAGAGCTCTTGCTAAAGGCAGTGGGGAGGTGTCTGAAGGGGATTCCAACCTGCCGCCAGAGGAGGCTGTGCTTTGACCCTCAGTCCTTTCTTTCCACTCAGCTCCTATCACGGTGTCCTACCTCAGTATGGTGAAGCGGAACGACAGCAGCCTCTCTGTCACCTGGCAAGCGCCACAAATTCGCAGCCAGAACGCCGTGAGCTTTGAGGTCATGTACTTTGAGAAGGTAAGATGCCCTCTCCTTCCCCATTACCTGCCAACACCATGAGCTACTCTGATCTTGTAAAAAAAAAGGGGGGGTCCACAACCTCGTTAAGCCAGTTGGCACTTTTGAAATGCTGAGAAGGGGCAGTGGGCCGTATGACAAAATGGCTGCCGTGGGGAGCTGTGCCCAATCACCTCTTTGGAGAGTTGCCCTAGAAGGTAATGGTAAAGGTTCCCTTGCTCGCTGCCCTAGGAGGTGGAGGTAAAGGTAAAGGTTCCCTTGCTCGAAAGCCAGTCGAATCCGACTCTAGGGTTGCGGTTCTCATCTCCGTTTCAAAGCCGAAGAGCCAGCGCTGTCCGAAGATGTTTCCGTGGTCATGTGGCCGGCATGACTAAACACCAAGGCGCACGGAACGCTGTTCCCTTCCCACCGAAGTGGTACCTATTTATCTACTTGCAATTTCTTGCTTCCGAACTGCTAGGTTGGCAGGAGCTGGAACTAGAGACGGGAGCTCATTCCGTCATGCGGCACTCAGGTCTCGGACTGCTGAACTACCAACCTTCCACAGCCTGCAGTTCAGCATCTTAACCACTTGAGCCACCGCAGTTTCCAAATATTGGGAAAGTTCTAAGGCAGGCATCCTCCAAAGATGGAAGCGGTTGTTTCTGAATGGCTGGTCCCTGCAGGACCAAAGGTCCTTCTGGGGTCCTCCAAAGTATGTTTAATTCCAGTCCCATTGAGTATAGCCAGGACTGGCCCGTTGCTTTAGGGAAAGGTGTTTTGGGGAGGAAGCAAATGGAAACCAGGAAACATGTTGATAGGCTGGGGATCACTGCTGTAAAGCAACATTTACTTATTTATTTATTGCTTCCCACAGGGAGAAGAGAAGCTCTACACTGTCCACCACCTCCAGGAACCCAAAGTGACCTTGGTGAACCTGCAGCCCAACACAGCCTACATTTTACGTGTGCGCTCCGTCACCCCCCTTGGAAACGGACCGTTTTCACAGGAACAGGAATTCCGCACCCTGCCGCAAGGTAGGGCCTTGATGCTGCATTCATGAGTTAACGGGGGGTTAAGAACGTAAAAACATAGGATGAGCCCTGCTGGTCCAGACCAGTGGCCCATCTAGTCCAGGATCCTGTTTTGTAGAGCAGCCAACTAACAGGAGTAAGAGGCCAAGGCAAGGCCTTCCCTTCATGTTGCCTCCTGGCACTGGGATTCAGAGGCTTAGTGCCTCTGAACGTGGAGTTCCACTTGAGTCACCATGGCTAAGAGCCACTGATAGAACTCTCCTCTGTGAATGCGTCTAGTTCCTTTTTAGAGTCTTCTATGCCAGTGGCCACCAGTACATCCTGACAGCAAATTCCACATTTTGATCACTTGTTGCATAACAAAGTATTTCCTTTTGTTCGTCCAGAATCTATTGGCCACCAGCTTCGTTGTGTACCTTGAGTTCTAGATAGATTCAGGTAGGTAGCCGTGTTCAGGGCTATTATTGGGCAGGAACGCACAGGAACGGAGTTCCGGCTGGCTTCAGAGTTAGCCACGCCCACTACAGCCAAAACCTCTTCGTGCGTGGCTACAGAGGGAAGGCCTGGAGAGCGACCCAAAGTTTAAAGCTTATACCAAGAATTAAGCTTTGTTGGTCTTAAAGGTCCCACTGGATTCAAACTTTGTTCCCTTAATCCTTGTTAATGGACCTGTTCACAGAAGCAACTTCTCTGAACATCCTCATTCCACGTAAGGTCCCCAAACGTGGATTCAGATGGACACATTTTTCCAGTGACGAAGCGGCACGGCTCCTTCAGAGGAACAGGCTCCATAGTTCTTCGCAGGGCTTTTTTTGTCGAAACGGCCCAGCAGGAACTCATTAGCATAACAGGCCACACCCAACAGCAGAAACTCATTAGCATATTAGACCACACCCCATGCTTGCCCAGGTGCCCCAGGCTGCGGGGAGCCCGGGCAAGCCGGCCCTTGGACAGGCCGGGGAAGGCACGGGGAGGCAGTTAAATGGCTCCCCGATCCTTTCAGGGCCTCCCTGGCCCGCTCACCTCGGAATTGCCAGGGGGGGGGTCGCTCTCCAGGCCTTCCCTCTGTAGCCACACACGCAGAGGTTTTGGCTGTAGTGGGCATGGCCAACTCTGAAGCCAGACGGAACTCTGTTCCTGTGCGTTCCTGCCCAAAAATAGCCCTGGTTCTTCGTAGCAACTTAATTTTGGGAAATGTGGTTTTCTTTTAAGTACAGGGCTGGTAGCGCCTAATCCTATGGTAGGGCCCTTCAGACAGGCAAAGCAAACTGGAGTCTTTGTGGCACCTTAAAGACTATCAAGATTCTTATTTCAGCCTGAGCTTTCACAGACTGGGTGGTGATGGTGGTGGGAAGTGTCGCCAAGTCTCAGCCAATCTATGGTGACCCTGTAGGGTCTTCAAGGCAAGAGGCATTCAGAGATGGTTTGCAATTGCCTGCCTCTGTGTAGCAACCCTGGGAGTTCCTTGGTGGTCTCCCATCCAAGTACTAACTAGGGCCTGCTCTGCTTCACTTCTAAGATCCAACAAGTGTTGGGAAAATTGGCAAAATGGTTAAATATTCAGAGATTGCAATGGATCTTTGCTTCACTGGAGAGGAGGCGTTTTCTTCGGTGTAAAAATCTTTATTTCTAAGGGAAGGGTTCACAGGAAATCTACAAAACAACAAAGACACCTAAGGCTACATCTTTACACTTTGACCACATGGTCTACAACCGTGGAGATTCTTCTTCTTCTTGACCCCTAGAAGGAAATAACCTGAATGCATTAACCAATGATTGTTAGTAAATAGGCTTCAGTTTCCCAGGCTTTCTCTCCATTGGCCCTGTGCCAGGTTCCCTTCCAGGTCAATCTAAACAATAGCATGAGAAGCAAACACATTTAACCCTATAATGAATGAATTTTAGACCTTGCAACAGACATGTTTCCAACAACAAGATGGGGCTAGCGTGGGCCATCCAGGTCAGCATTTATGGGCTTAGCACCCTTAATCTTTAAGGTGTCAAAAACACTTCTGTTTATTTTTGTTGTTGTGGAAGTATCATTTCCTTTTTCTTGGGGCTGCAAGTTAAAGGGGAAGATGGGCATGTGGGGGGGGGGAGGTGGAGGGACCCTTTCTTTTTAACCCGTTCCATGGGAGCTGTTTCCCCCACTGAAAATCATCGCCCTAAGCTGTTCCCATCCATTACCTGGATGGGCCAAGCTAGCTCAGTCTTGTGAGATCTCAGAAGCTAAGCAGGGCCAGCCTTCGTTAGCATTGGGATGGGAGACCACCACAGAAATCCAGGGTTGCTACCCGGAGAGGCAGGCAAACCACAAACCACCTCTGGACGTCTCTTGCCTTGAAGATCCAACGAAAGAGTTGCTGTCAGTCGGCTATGACTTGACAGCACTTTACACACACATACAAGTTGTACCCTGACGTTATCCCAGAAGGGGGTTAAAAACAGATGGGGAAGAATTTTCAGCATGAACATGGGGAGACCGGAAGAATTAAATAGCCCCTCCCCCTGGCTGGTGTCTCTCTCTTTAAATCACAGTCCTCAGACTACCTTTGATTAAAAAGAAGTTCCCCAAAACAGCTACAAAGACACCTGCCTTATCGTAAGCACCACCCAGAGGGAGGAGGCACAGATATTAGCGTGCTGCTAATGCAATTGAGTTTCTATGTACCAGGCCTTTTTATTTATTTATTACATTTATGAATCACTCCATTCCCTACTATCGTAGGGCTCTGGGCGATGTACAGTAACCTTAAAACAATAACCAGGTAAATCAATAAATCATATTAAATTACCTTTTAAAAGACAGATGGCGAATAGTAATACTTATGATTAAAGGTAAAGGTAAAGGTTCCCTTGCTTGAAAGCCAGTCGAATCCGACTCTAGGGTTGCGGTGCTCATCTCCGTTTCAAAGCCGAAGAGCCAGCGCTGTCCGAAGACATCTCCATGGTCATGTGGCCGGCATGACTCAACACCAAGGCGCACGGAACGCTGTTCCCTTCTCACCGAAGTGGTACCTATTTATCTACTTGCAATTTCTTGCTTTCCAACTGCTAGGTTGGCAGGAGCTGGAACTAGAGACGGGAGCTCACTCCGTCATGCGGCACACTCAGGTCTCGAACTGCTGAACTACTGACCTTCCACAGCCTGCAGTTCAGCGTCTTAACCACTTGAGCCACCACAGCTCCTAATACTTATGATTAGTTATTCCCATATTACAGACTGCGGCCGCTTCACGGGCAGGGGGGAAAGAGGTTGAGACGAGCATGGAAAACTATGGAGGGCGCAAGCTGAGATAAAAACCGTCGCTGTCCTCGACCAAAAGCCTGGTGGAACATCTCTGCCTTGCGGGCCCTCCGGAATTGCGTAAGGTCCCGCAGGGCCCTGATGGAATTTGGCAGAGAGTTCCACCAGGTCGGGGCCAGGACCGAAAAGGCCCTGGCCCTAGTCCAGGACAGCTGGATATCCTTAGGGCCGGGGACCACCAGCGTGTCGTTATCCAATGAGCGCAACGCCATTCTCTCTTTTTTTAAAAAAGCCAATAGCAAACCAATCCCTCCAGTGCAAAGGTTTAAAAAGCAGCATAAAACACAGAGCAGCTTTGATCATGAATGCAAAAAGCCCTCCCCCCTCCTTAAAAAAAAACAACCCTCATTTTGTGGGACAACAAAACCCAGACAGCTGTGCTCCGAGACAGGGGAATTGTGCACACACAGCAATAGTTTGGAAAACGGCACACAGGGGTGGACGAGTCCCCTCTTCAAACCTACACACAGGAAGCCCTTTTTTCAGACGCTGAAATCCTCTCCTTGGGCTCTCTGAGAGCAGAGATTGGATTCAGCAGCCCACACCTTTCCTTTCCGCGCCAAACAGCAGGATAGCAATATTTGAGCTTTATTTTTTTTTAAATGGCTATCCCACCCCTTTCTGTTGGACTGGATCCACGGCAGTGTTTCTCAAAGCTGGTTTTATTTAATCATCTGCGAACGCGGAACGGGCTGTCCAGTCAAAGAATTCTTTCTCCCTCTGACTTCAGAGAGACACCCCACCCCCACCCC